GAGTGCTCTTTCCCTTGCAACACTCTCAGCAACAGGTTATTGGAAGCTGAAGAAATCTTCTGAGCCAGACATGCTATCTTTATATTTAATAACCCATGAACAGATTTAATGCACCTGTTATTAAAATGGTTTCAAGGGTAATACATCCCTTTAATTACTGTATATTACTCACACAGGCTGTTTTTGATGAGCAAGTGATCCCTGTTTGGAAAAGACAAAAAAATTTAATATCTTTGAATGTTTGCTTAATCATAGAGATCTGATCCTTTCTCAAAGGGGATTGACATTGGGGAAGAACAGCCTGGAACAGATCTTGTCTTAATAACTTGTTCTTTTTAAAAAAAAATTAAAAACAAAAACAAAAACAGCCTTCCTCCTATGAAATTCCAAAGCAGATGGTTGTTCTTTTTTCTTATTTTCTTTGCAGGGTGTACTTATAGATGTCTTGTAAGAACATGGATTTTTAATATTTATGCAATATCTACATGTGTGCTGCTACCATTTGCCATCTACATAATTTTAGTCTTCCATCTTTCTTAACAAACAGTGTCCAGACTCTTTATTTTTACAGCATGGTTAATAGAGGTCTTTTGATCAAAAAAGTACATAGTGCTGCTGCAGTTTTTTCTTACTGCTGTGCCCCGTAAATGTCATCAAGTTTACAAAATTGGGGACATGAACAAGTGAGTTTTTCAGTTTTAAAAAAAATAGCTTGGAGCCTCTATCATATTTAATCCCTCTAACTAGGCTTAGAAGAAGTTTGAACTGGTTTAATCCTCTGAGACTGAGACATGAGCTTTGACAGAAGAAGTGTGGAAATGCTGTGGTGTGCTATATTTCTGTATAGCTGAAGCAGCTTCTTTTTCTCCGAGTAAAGAGAGTTGTGTTGCACTAGCAGATCATTATTAGCATAGGTCCTGTGGTACAAACCCCTGTATTCGCTCTCTGTATCCTACAGATGCGAAATAAAGGATATTTTTGTCTTTCAACCAACTTTACCTGTTGATTGACAGGAATGAGATGTATGTTGCTGAAGAGTATGGAGGCAAAAGCCGATCCAGAACAACCCAAAGAAACCAAAACCTCCCATTTTTTACTGGAGAATTATTAGACGAACATGATCAAGAGCTATGTATGACTGCAAAAACCACAATGATGATAAATGAGACACATTGTTAAAAAGAAACCACTGATTATTGCCATGCGTGGTGGATAAGCTGATTTAAAAACTGATCTGGTAGGAAGCTTTGTTTTCAGTGTCATTTGATACAGCCTTATGGGTAGTTGCTGTAGCTTATAGATACTCGTGGCCCTTTTTCTTGTCTGCTTTTTTGCTATTAGTTATGCAATATTTCTAAATACATGATAAATTTTATTGCAATATCTTAGTTACTTAGCTGAGTTCAGCAGTAATACTTTTTGACTTTATGTAGCCTTAACTATTAATGGAAATTGTAAAAAATCATGTTTATATATTCAGAGAAAAAGAAACCATAGCATTTAAACCTTGATTTTTGTCTATTTTTGTGTTTATTAAACACTTGCTTAAGCTGCATTTTTTCTTTTTAATGTCAATTAAATATCAACTTGTAAAAATGATGTTGGTAGATGATGACTGTCCATAGTTCAGTTGCAGTATTTGATTTTTTGTCCTCCTGGAGTACCAGGGAATCTATGAGCTTCTAAACATCAGTGCTCTTCATCAGGGACCAGACACTCATTCACCAGGTATTCTGGCCAACAGGTCAGGTATATCTGACGTATGAGAATGGATATTGGATGCTGTGATAGTAGAAATCCGTGAATCGCTGGTAAAGCAGAAAATGGAGATTAGTGGGGTGCTACAAACTCTCTTTAATCTCACTGTTAAGCCCAACAAATAAGTACCTGTGAACACAACAGTGATTATAAAGATCATCAAAGAGCAGAAATAGAATTAGTCTTTTGAGGTCAGTTTTTTCTCCTCTAGATTTTTTGAATTCTTTCTCATTCTCTGTCAGATTCCTTCCTGTGCTATTTCACTTTATCTGCTCACTGCTGGGCTGGGATTAAAAGCCTGAAGTTTGGTCAGGTTCTTACATCTTTACTCCCATATCTTCTAACAATAATCAGAACAAAGTTTACAATCAGCTGAGGAGTAAAATGTGTAAGTGATCTTCACCAGCTCACGTGGTATCGCTTTCACTGCCCCTCAAATCTGAAAAGTCCTAGCAACGAGATGATTTTAAAACACTTTTTTGGTGGTGTGAAGCAGTGTGAAACAAGTTGTCTTCTAAATACTGTTGAAGAGAGTCTTATTTGCTGTCCAGGTTTCTCCCTCATCCTGACTTGCATATAACTTCAAAGTTTATACAAACTTCTATAGCGCCAGATGCGCTGGAAATGCGTTAAAGCTTTCTTCAACGTAGAATGGAGCAATGCTGTAAGGCGATGAGAAGACAGTTTTGTCAGAAGTGGGGTTTTGAACCTGCAACCGGGCTATGTTGTGGCTATTTTAAAAAGAATGCATTTTAATATGAAATACAATTTGTTAGGATATTTTTATAGGTAATAACTCTGTAACTTCAGATAAGACTGAATCTGAATCTGAATGCAGATTGCTAGGTTTGTACTTATATAGCTCTAAGTAATATTTTGTTTATTCTGATGATCTGGAGAGCATGGGATGATATTTACCCACATAAACCTTACTTTAAAAATACTTACTTTTCTACCTGAAGTTGGTTTGAAGGCCAACAGCGTCCTGGCCTGTATCAGAAATGGTGTGTGGCCAGCAGGAGCAGGGAAGTGATCGTGCCCCTGTACTCGGCACTGGTGAGGCCGCACCTTGAATCCTGTGTTCAGTTTTGGGCCCCTCACTACAAGAAGGATGTTGAGGTGCTGGAGCGTGTCCAGAGAAGGGCAACGAAGCTGGTGAGGGGTCTGGAGCACAAGTCTGATGAGGAGCAGATAAGGGAACTGGGGTTGTTTAGTCTGGAGAAGAGGAGACTGAGGGGAGACCTTATCGCTCTCTACAACTACCTGAAAGGGGGTTGTGGCGAGGAGGGGGTTGGTCTCTTCTCCCAAGTAACTAGCGATAGGACAAGAGGAAATGGCCTCAAGTTGCGCCAGGGGAGGTTTAGATTGGATATTAGGAAAAATTTCTTCACTGAGAGGGGGGTCAGGCATTGGAACAGGCCGGCCAGGGAGGTGGTGGAGTCGCCATCTCTGGAAGTGTTCAAGAAACGTGTGGATGTGGTGCTTCAGGACATGGTTTAGGGGACATGGTGGTGCTGGACTAATGGTTGGACTTGATGATCTTGAAGGTCCTTTCCAACCTTAGTGATTCTGTGGTTTCTGTGATTCCCTGGCACATGAGGAATCTTAGGAAGGTAGGTGGTATTTGTGTCTGTGAGCTAGAAGGAGGTTGTCTAGAAGGTGAAAGTGTGATGGAGGCATGTGTGCTGTTGAGTAGCCATTTATGCTGACTTCAGCAGTTCCTGAACACATCAGGCTTGCAACATGCAGCGTATGTGCAGCTGCGCAGGTTTATGGGTTTGTGCAGGTCTGATACTTCTGAGAAACACTAGATTTTCTGTGTACGCGCTGTCTGGCTGCCTTGTCTGTGCACAGCTAGCTCGATGTGTTTGAAATATGTTCGCTGTACGTATGTACCAAGTGTACAAAGTGTTAGATTTACTGAGCATGGGCCATGCGTTCCACCTGGGAAATCCATCACACGCATGTAGGAGTCTGAGCTTCAGTTTGTGTTCGTTTTCACTTAGATACGGGGTTTGTTTTATGCAGGTACTTCAGTGACAATATTGTTTGCCCAGAATATTCACTGCATGGAGAACATTCTATGGCATATTTTAAAGCAAGCTGATCACTCTTTAAAACATATTATAGAAGTTCTGATTTATTTTTGTTGCTCTGTATGCTTGACTCAAATTTTGTTTTCTGTTTTCAGGCAGCTATAAATGGTGTAATACCACAAGAAAATGGCATTCTACAAAGGTAAGCACAGAAGGCTGGAGTAGTACACACAGAGAATGATGCTGGGTAATAGTTACTTTTTTTTTGTTCCTGAATCCTAAGAAGATGATGTAATTCTCCTTTTAAAGCAGTTTCTGGAGCCACAAATTCAGTTCCTGGCAAAGCTGATTTAACGTTCAGTTTTTCCCATACTGATGGAGGATCAGCTCTAACACCTATTCAAATTAGTTAATTTTTATTTTTAATTCCTTGGTTGTTTGGTTATTCTGTGCAGGGTTGTCTCTTTACTAAGTCTGGATGTTGGTATGCTTTCTTGGATGTCAGGACTTTTTTTTTTTTCCTTTTCCCTCCTCAAAAAAGATCTAAAAATTTGCAAGGAAAATCCACAAATGTTCCTGGCTAAGTATTTTCTTTTTCCTTATGCATTTTTGAAGGTATTGATATTCTATGCTTCCCAGTCCAAAAATGTTTGTATTTTAGTAGGTTTGTGGGTTTTTTTTAAATTGAATTAGAGGCAGCAGATCCTGTGTTAGATGAAGTGAGGTTGCTTCCTTCTAAAAGTAACTTTACTGATTTTCTTTCAGCTTCTGAATTAAATTTTTTAGTGAATTCACTGAAGCATGAGCTCCTAAGTGCTGATGAGGCAATTGAAAACAGCAGAACAGAAATTGAGCTACTTGAGAGAGACAGTAAAATAGTGTTTAAAATGTTATTTAGAAAAATAGTCAATGTACTATTTTTAAAAATTTATCTTAATGATGAAAAAATATACATAATGTAGGTGAAGTGGTGTTTTGCCATCTCTGTCAGTACTTACCAAAACTATCATCAAATAGAGTCAGTTTTTGATTCAGGATAAAAACTTATTTGCTCAGTAAAGTTACTAGATGTTTATTTACCATAAGGCCTACCTAGTCCATTTGAGATCACGTCTCAGTTGTCAAGTGCTCTTTCCACCTATGTTAACAAGTCCTTACCTCAAAGCATCTATATTCAAAATACCAGAATATTTGGAACCATTTCGTCAGGGGAAGGAAGCTGGGGCATAGTTATGTCTGACTTAGATAACAAGCTGGTCCAGTGTCCACTTACAGCTTTCTTCCACACTTATTTATTAATTTTTAGAAATCATTAGACAGTGAAATCTGTCTCAGATCCCACCCCCCAATGGAAGTGGTTTAGAAGGAGGCTCAGAAGACTCAGAAGCCTAGTTTCCAGTGGTTTCCAGATGAGGCCATTTTTTTTACTGATGTGAAGCTTTTTATGTTCCGTTAGAGGTTGCCAGTCAGATATGTAGGATGCCTTTTGTAGTGGAATCAAATAGAATTAATACAACTGGACTTGAAGTAAGTTAATTTATTGAAGGGAAAAAATTTTTTTGGTTTATAATTCAGTTGTGGCATTTAAAAAAAATTTTAAAAACCCAGTCCTGAGAATCAGGATAACCATTGCTTTTTGGGTCTGTTAACAAAACAGTTACAGTATTTAATTCATAGTTTGCCATCAGATTTAAGACAATAACATATCGCTCAGTATTTATACTTTTTTAAATCCTGAAAATAAGACTGTTTCCTGTAGTCTTCAGATCACTGAAGTGGGTCTTTGACCTTTGAGTGTGAGTTTTTGAGTGTGGGTCTTTGTAGCTGGGAATTCATCCTTCTGAGCCTGCTGATGTGGGAAGTGAAGGAGCCCCTTGTTTTACAAGCATAACATGTTTTTCTTTCTCAAATGTGGAAGGCACAATGATGGGATTTGCAGTAGCAGTGTATTTCTGCACTTGTGACATGCATGCCATCCACATTTATGTTTTTTTAAGTTTTGGCCTCTTCTAGATGACAGATTTGATTTTCTATGAGAAGCATTTCCATTGAGAGATCTCGTGATATCTTCAGGAAGAGCACTTTTCAAATAGGTTCTGTCTAAGAATGGAAACGAGACAACTTACATCTCAGCATTTCCTAAATCCTTCTTTGCTCAGCTTCCACCCTTTCAGTGTGTACATTTTATTAGCTTGCATCTTCCATCATGATACTCTGTAACTGCCCAGCACAGATAATCTTCCTGATAAGAACATCTCCAAGGTGAAGCTCTAGGCTTGCCCTGTGAAGCTGCTTGCCTTCCAGATTTAATTTCTGTACATCATAGGGTTGTTTTTGGCCTGGAGGAATGTGCCTTAAATGTCACATTTTGTTACCTTTGTTTCTAATCCGGGTTATGTGCTGCTTGTGAAGAGGCTCACTGGGGAAGATGAAGTGCTTCTGGGTAGTGAGGGTTGCCCAATTTATTCTGACCTGTAATGCTGTATGTATCCTTGAGCCAGGTATGGAGACATCCTTATATGAATGTCCAGGAGGCTTGAAGGATTTTGGACTTAAAGGCAAGCTAGAATTCAGCATGGCATTACTGTTGTACTCCTAGGTATTTTTTGCAATATATACTTCATTATATTAATTTATTTACCTTAAATACATAACTATTCATATCTGACTTGTTTACCACTAGATTGGTATTGGAAAATACCAATACACGTGCAGTATTTAAACTTTATTTTGTATTTTCATTTCTATGTGATACTAGCCCAATGATGTAGAAAGCTGGTTGTTGCCATGGTGACAATTTTTATATGGTCACAGCACTCCTGGAACAGGAAATAATCCTTCTTCTTGAGATTTTGATATTAATTATATAGTGAACTTTAAACTTAAATGGCTTAAATGCTTGTTTGTCATCTAAGCTGTTCTCCTATAGCACTTCTGAGTTACTGAAATGTTAATATTCCTGATGAAAGTTATTTTCTAATTATTAATAAAATAATATTTTCAGATATGACAGTGTAGTTTATTCAAGAGGCGTGTGCTGTGGACCACAGCAAACGAACAATACTGTTCATTTTCTTTGCTAACTTTTATTTAAACATACCAAGCTCTTCTCTTTATACCTTTTTATCTGTGTATCTTTCAGTGAGTACGGTGGAGAGACTTTACATGGACCAGCATATGGCCCCACAAGTCATTCTACAGCAGCCTCTTCAACTCCTTCCTCATCCTCAGCGTTTCGCCATGTAGTGCCATCTAGACAAATAGTGGAAAGACAACCTCGAATGCTTGACTTCAGGGTTGAGTACAGAGACAGAAATGTGGATGTAGTACTTGAAGACAGCTCCACAGTTGGTAAGGATTTGTAAAAATGAAATGAAAAGTGTTGTGGTAAAATTGTTAAAACGAAAACAATTTAAAAAACTGTGAAAACAAAAAACCAAAACCAACCAAGACCCAGCTCCAAAAATCCAAATCCTAAAAAAAAAAAAACCAAAAACCCCACCAACAAAGTAAAACAAAACCCCTTGAAGAAGAAAAAAATCCCCAGAAAAGGGAGCCTCCACAGCTACTAACTATTTTCAAATCTCTTTGCAGCTTTAAAAAAGCAAAATTTCACTAATCCATTGTAAAGGTTAGTGATCCATCAAATATTTATTTTGAAATCTAGTTTTCTTATGAACTTGTTTCAGAAACAAAATGGAGATTACTGATTAAGTTGAGGCATGAAAACGTAATTTGGGGTAGGATTAGTGTAGGTGCAATCTACTGATAAGCAGATGATCTTGGCATTTCCTTTTTGAATCTGTATGGCATGTCTTTCTGTGTAGGATTAGTGACAAGTTTTAGAAGAATTCTTTCCAGTGTGAAGAGCATTGTTGCATGCTTCTTTTTTAAATTTTTATTTGACTTGATTGTAAATCAAGATTTCTTGTATAAGTTTTGTTTTCTTTATTGTAAAAATGATGCATTTTGTAACAGTATGTTAGAAATATGCTATTGTTAGCATTGCAGAGCATGTTATTTTTTACATTCCCCAAACTGTGAGTTTGCTAAGGATGAAGAGGCGTTTTTGGTTCGGGATTTTTGTGTGTGTGTGAAGACTCTATACAGCTCAAAATAAGGAAGTAGTTGAAGAAATAGTTGATTAAAACAATTTTCAATGCTGCAGCCTTATGTCTGTGGTGAAATTTCAGAATTTCAACTTTTGATTTTTATTTGTCGTCTTAGCACTCGATTTGGTATTGGCTGGTGCCACCTCGTGGTGATTAGTTTGAATTCCTGATTAGTGTTTCATGTTTTCCTCAGCACTGTACTGTGTCATCCATGCAAAGCAGATGTAAAAGTCTGATCAAATCAGAATTTTGCAGCCGTGGTATTTTATTTTTTCTTATTAACTTCTTTCAGGTATAAATGACTAAGCTGTAGGGCAGAAGCAGTCAGTGTGGAACTCTTGTCTCTATCTTGCCATGTGAAGATTGAGGGCAGCTTTGTGTTTAAAGTCCTGAGAGAAGTAAGCAAGGCAAATAGTAGAATTTCAACTGGGGACTTCAGAACAGATGACTATTGGCTTTTTCAGGGATCTGCTTGGCAGGATCCCATGAGAGACTACCCTGTCGGCAAAGGGGCCTAAGAGAGCTGGTTAATCTTCAAGGACTACGTCTTCAACGCACAGGAACAGTCCCTTCCAACATGCAGAAAGAGGAGCAAGCATGACAGAAGGCCAGCACAGAAGAACAAAGATTTTCTGACTATACTAAATGCAAAAAGAGTGTACACATAAGGTGGCAGGTTGTGATGGGCTACTCAGGAGGAATACAGAGGTGTTGCCAGAATATGCAGGTTTGGAGATAGGAAGACCAAAGCTCAGGTGGAGCTGAAATGACTGAGGGACTAGAAGAGCTTCTGTAAGTACATCAGCATGAAAAGAGAGGCTAAGGAAAATGTGAGCTCACTGTTAAATGATGATTGCTGAATTTGGTCCATGTTCGTATGGAGAAAAAAATTATGGGGAAAATCTTTCTGGAAGCCCTTTCTGTGCACAGGAAAGAAGAGAAGGTGGTTTGAAACAGCCAGCACGGAGTTGTTAATGGGAGATTGTGCCTAATCAACGTTACCTACCTTTTATGATTTCTTGACTGGCTCTGTGGACAAGGGGAGAATGGTGGATGTCACTTTTGACTTTACTAATGCCTTTGACATACTCTGCTGTAGTATTCTTACAGTCATATTGTTAAGATAAGAATGGAGTAAGTGGGCTGATAAGGTATGTAGATAGTTGCCTGGACTGCTGGCTCAAAGTTTGACTGGTGAACAGTTACTAGATTAGGGATGTCCCTCGGGTTGATCCCGTGTTGCTTAATGTCTTTATTAAAAACCTGGTTGTTAAGGTGAGCACTCTTGGCAGGTGCACAAAAAATACCAGAGAAAGTGACTGATATTCTGGAGCGCAAGTCTGCACCTGAGACGGCCCTGGACAGCCTGGAGAAAGGGGCTGACAGAAGCCTCGTGAAACTCAAAGAAAGCAAAGTTGAAGTCGTGCATGTGGGATAGGATAACTCTATCTGATAACTGGCTGAGACCTGACGGGCTAGTAAGCAACTTTGTAAAAAAAGGGATCCCTTGTGCCCTTGCAGTGAAGAAGCCCAGCCATGTCCTAGGCTGTGCTAGCAAGAGCATAGATAATGGATACAGGGAAATAATTATTCCCCTCTATTCAGCACTTGCAAGACTGTATCTGGAGCACTGCATCCAATTTTGAGGTTCCTGGTACAAGACAGACGTTGACATTCTGCAGTGAGTCCAGCAAGATAGTCAGGGGACTGGAGCACATGGCAACATAGGAGGAGGGGCACAGAGAACTGGACTTGTTCAGCCTGGGGAAGAGGAGAGACCTTACCTCTTGTCTACAGCTACCAGATGGGAGGACACAGAGAAGATGGAGCCAGACCCTTCTCGGAGGTGCATGATAATAAGATGAGAGGCAATGGACACAATTTACAACATTAAAAATTTCTATAAGCTATAAGGGTTTATTTATTTATTTTTTTAGTTGTGAGAGTGGTGAAGTACTGGAACAGGTTAGCCGGAGAAGTTGTCAAACTTCCATCCTTAGAGGCATTCAAGAGTCAGCTGGGCAAATCCTTGACTGAACTGGTTTAATTAGACCTTTGATCTGGGCTTGGGTTAGATGACTTCCTGAGGTACCTTCCAGCCCGAGTTATTTTATGACTATGATAACTACAGGGAGAGGACAAGCACTGAAATGTGCAAAACGTTCTAAAAACTGTCAGAGCCATCAAATTGTACGAACACTGCAGTTATTTAGGTCAGGATTATTGATAAGCGAATTGGGTATCAGAAATATGCAACCTCTTTGTTGCTGGTAAAGTGCATTGCTCCAGATAGCATGCCTCTGCAGATGTGTGTGTCTAGCGTAAGCAGTGTAGAACTATTCAAATACATGTCCAAATTATCAAATCCTCATGTGATTCTCCAATCATTAATGCTTTATATGATTTTTTTTTTTAGCTGCTTTTGTCCTTTACTGCTTGAAGTGTGTGTTACAAGGGTAACTAGACTAAAAATTATTTTCATAGTAAGTTGTTCCTTGCTCTTGTTTTTTAACTATCACTCAGTACTGTTTGAAATAAAGCAGTAAGTGTGTATATTTTATATATTTTCTTTGTTTTCTCTTTAGGAGATATCAAACATATTCTAGAAAATGAACTTCAGATTCCTGCCTCTAAAATGCTCTTAAAAGGGTGGAAGAGTGGAGATGTAGATGATAGTGTAAGTTTTCAACTGTATTTTCAGTTAACTGAATTCAGAGTTTTAAACTGAGCATCTGTGGGTGGGGATTACAATGCAAGAATTGTGAGTTTCAAACAGCATTAGATGTCTTGGGTGGCATACAAGGAACTCTTAAACTAAAACACTGAAAAAAAAAAAATCAGGACAAATCACTTTAGTTTGTGTTGGTTTTATATATAGCATGGCCTACCTACAAAAAGGATATTATGAAGTTAGCAATAAGTATATCTCCAAACAAATGATTTGGTGGTATTGTAAATAAGTATCAATAATTAAGAGAAATAATAGGTCAGATTTGGTGAATGTTTTATATTTATAATGATTTTTCTCCCCTCAGACTGTTTTAAAAACTCTACACTTGCCAAAAAATAATAGTCTTTATGTTCTAACACCTGACCTGCCTCCTCCTTCTTCAAGTCATTCTGGGTAAGTCTTTTTTCCATGAATTCTACGTGTATGATTTGGTTTTGTGTGGTTTTTATAAAGCCACATGTATCCTTGCAGGAATCTGCAATCAGTAAATACAAAGCCTTTTCACTGCTCTAGTAAATGTTGGGATGAACGATCTCAGCACCTCATTGTTGAAAAGAAGGTTGTTAAGTTTTTTAAAACCTTGATGTAGTACATGAACCACTTATGCACATGCGGAATTTTACACTTCCCAGATGTGATGACTTTAACAAAAATCTGGTCCCTGTGGAAATGAGAGCTGGCCTATCATAAGATACCGTGTTATGTTGGTTCATTTAACGTAAGCTTGTATAAATCATTGCCAGCAGATCAGAACTTTATTTCTGAAATGTTTGTTACATTATTTTCCTCCTATATTCTTGAACTTTTACAATGAATGTAGATAGGCTGAATAATTAATTTCTTCTAACTGAGCAGGATACCTTTTATTACTGATTTGAATGCTTAGAAAGTTAATGGTGTGTGTTCATATGTCAGTGAATATTGCTAAAGTTTGAAAATGAAATGTTATTTTATAGAAAATGGAATCTTTAATCTTATAATTTGTAATGACTTTCACTGCTTTGGCTTGTTTCCTTTTCTGCCCTTCCCTTTCTGAAAGGCAGACCTGTATGAGCTCTTACTGGGAAAATATGAATTTTATTCGGTAGCCGCTAGATGGTGCCCAGTAATTGAGCCTGGAAGAGCAGCACTGCTCCGGACCCGCAAGCCAGAGGGGAGGCTGGCTTTTGGAATTGGTCAAATCGCATGATCATTAGACTAGAGTGCCTTCAGATTGTTTGAAGAGGGAGTTGTTTTTCTGCTGTTGTAGTCAGTAGGAGAATATTCTACAAATGCAGTTGTATTACTGATGGAGGAAATTCTTTGACAGTCAACGAAAATAACTGGTTTCCTAATGACTAAAAGTACTTCATACATTGCTAAAAGGTACTTGTGCACCTAACTGTGTAGGCTGTGGAGGAAATAAGAACGTTGATATGAATTATAAAAATAATAATAATAAAGAAAAAAAGCATTAAGGGAGGGAATAGTGGCCCTGGAACAGAGGGAGCAGAGTGATGGTGAGCTGTATGTGAACTGTATGTGCAAACAGGAGCTGTAGTTGTGCATGAGGACAATAAGCCATTGTACTTAAACAGCTAGTTGAAGGGCAGTGAAAATCCTGTGGAAAAACACTGTAGAGACTAATTGTTTGTTTTGTGGGTTTTTGTTAAACCCATTTCCAATTTCAAAATTTTCTACCCAAGTGTCACTGTATATTGTCATTTGAATGTCTTTGATTCTGGAAAGAAAACAGCTGTCTGAAGAATGTTGTTTACTGCAACTGCAATAAACTATATAGCAACAAACTGTTAAAAAACAGTTCTTGGGCTTTTTTAGTGGATGAATAGTTAAAAGAACTTTACTTGCTAGTAAAATCAAAGTGGTTGTTACCTTTACAGTTTATACTTGTTTCATAGTGGAGAGTAGTTCTGGATATTTTTAAGATAAAGTTGGTTGCTTTGGGATAGCAAATGATGATTAATTAGTGGCTACTTAAACAAGGATAATTTGAAGGCTAGATCATCTCCCTGAAGTCATAAATTCTAGATGAAAGGGGAGGCTTGCCTCCAATTAAAGCATCAATGCACATCAAAACACATCTAATTGAAGCAATGTACCAAACCCGGTTACACTGTTTACTGCCTACTGTTAGGTCAGTTATTATTCAGATTAGTTTATTACCCACAATTTTTAAAAGCATCATGCTCACATCTATTATTAATGGATGTTACAGAACTTTGCCTCTTACGTTGTGAGTTCATCTGTCATTTTCTTCAAATGCCTTCTATTTTGAACTAGAGATAAATAGTCGTGATTTGAATATCTCCAGAAAGTGATATTTGAAAAGCTTGAGATTTCAGTACGTGATATTTTATGTATATGCCTTTCTTCAAAGGAGCAATCTGGTCACAGCACTATAAACCCCAGTTTGTGCCTGTTCTTGACACTAAGGGAGAACAGTGTCTGAAATATCCTTTTCCGATGTGTTGGTACGTAGGCATTGAAGTTTATTGTGACAGACTGAACGGGCTTAACCCAGCACAGACTTAAAACTAGCATCTAAATGTAATGGCAAAGTGATCCTGCAGTTTAAACAAACAAAAATCTCCTAGGGTATTTTCGTTCATCAGTGGCATATCTAAAGCTTCTATAGGTAATAGAAACCCAGTGTATTACTCCCACATGCTAGTAAATCGAGGTGTAAAGATTAAATTTGAATGTCAAATACCACCTGTAGGGTTACATGCCCTGCTTCCACAATTCAGTTGGCAAAGCCATACTTATCCATGCATGATACCCAGAACAACGATGATGTGTTCTGCAAGCTGTGGATGTAATGAAACCTGATTTCTGGTGAATTCCTGTCTCATCCCAGTGGCTGCAGTAACCCAGCCCTCTCCCTCCATGGTTCTCGTCATCTCCCCTACCTCTGACACCACCTCCGGTTCCTCCCATGTATTTTGTAGGACCTATGTAATTTCTGCCCCCCCTTTTGCCCTTGCATAGATAGTCAGCCTGCCCTGTCTCTGTTCTCCAGCTGATAGTGAGGTGGTATCAAAGAAAAGGTGAAATCATATGCTATGGGTAGTTCTGAGATCATTGGCTAGAGGTCAGCTGGATGGAGTATAAAATACTATGCTTGTGATGCAACCTTTTACTAAGGTGGGTGGTAACTTGGATCCATTTCCTCTACCCGGCTGTTGATTTACACCTAATCTTTGAGACCTTTATAACACTGACAGACCTCCTTGAAACTGGTGAATATGTTCAAAAGTTACCAGGTGGAACAGGCGGGTGGAGAAGAACATGATTTCCTTTGGAAAGCAGCCTTAAAAGGTGCGGTGCCAAAGAATGTCCATCATTTAATTGTCCAAGGGGAGAGATTCCTTGCACCAGCTTTGTCAGATCAGATTCTTCGCTTCCTCAGAGCACAATTCCCTCCCTTTGTTGCCTCAGGTGCTTCTTGAAAGCCGGCAATACCCAGTTCAGGAAAAAGATTTAGGAGAATGCAAGAGGGGATCATCAAAAGCATAGGCATGCAAGCCTGGCCACAGAGCTAGGCCAATCCAGATCGTTTCTCCTTTCTATCTTGCATGTTCTGGGAGATGTTTTTTATTAGTTTTTTCTTCTATTGTCATTTTAATGGATATAATGTATTTTATATTCATACTTTTTTGCTAAATAGCTGAAAGTCTTAGGTATTCTGTTGTACCTGATGGATTACTGGAAAGTTCAAAACAGTTAAAGGCTATTTGACCAGGTGCATACCTTGGGAGATTATTACAAATGATGTAATTTTGTTAAGTGATTGTAACTTATTTAAGGAGTGTAATCATCTGTGTGTATAGGAAAAACCCCACAACCCCCATCTTGCAAGTAATGGGTGCATATACTGCTGAATGCCTGTGTTTTAGGTTGTTGCAGAGCAGTGGTGATAGTGGCATGGTGTCTTGTTGTACGTTATCAACTGTAGCAGAGTGTTAATTAAGAACGATGTAACCTGCAACTCCAATTATTAGTATTGTCTGTTTAGCTGGACAGGAGCAGTGCCTTGCTTTAGTTACTTTGAAAGCTTCAATAAGAATGGTAAGATTAATGTTTTATTTTCACATCTGCTCATGAGACAGTTTAAAAATCCTGAAGTTTAAAATGCAATCGAATGTAAACAAAAGGGCTTCTGCTCATTTACATGTTAGCCAGATTTGCTAACTGATTGCTGTTTGAACCTAATCTACCACCTCCTGCTGCATTAGCTACAACAAACATTACATTTACATACTGATTTCTTATTTTGTTTTAATGTAAATAATCTGTAATTACAGTAAATTTGGACTTCTGTTGACATGAGCTTGTATAAATCTGTAAGTTTAAAACGGAAATGTTAATTACCTTGTGTCATACCTATTTATATATAAAATTCAGAGGTTTTTAGGGAAATCTCCATGTGACTGAGAAAGATACTGCCTAATGGGAAATACTGAATGTATTTCATAAAAACTTAACAGAACTGAAATGAAAAGGAGCATTTGCTCATCATTGTTTAAGGATAAACTTTTCGTTTCAAAGCTTAAAATATTACTAAAATTTCAGAGTAAAATGCTGTTAAAAAGCAAACTATTGCATCAAAAAATCAAAGCATTAAGGCAGTCACTTAACAATAGATATAACCAATCTACTTTATATATAAAGTGTTACAGAACAATAGAAAAGCAGTAAAACTGGAAGCTTAAAAATAATAAATATAAATCCTAATACTTGCTTCAGCATTGCATATGCTGATTGAACACTTGCTGTCCCCTAAGATTAGCAGTATTTGCAGTTACCCCTTATTGGCTAAATATTGTTTCTATTCTGAATTTAGCAGATTTGCAGTTTATAAATTGTACTGTATTGAAATTTGGATGGAGTAGCTAGTGAATAAACTCTTTCCAGACTCTTAATTGACTTTTAATATTTTGAGTTTAGTGGGGGGAAAAAAAAAATTCTTGCAACTTCCGTTGCTTGAAATTTAAGTTTCAAAGAGGAACATTTTTGTTTGCATATTGTAGCATTTCAATCCTGGCTGAATCCTGGTCCACCACTGAGATTTCTGTGCATTGTGATAATGCTGATAACCAATGCTACATAGGCAATCCATATGAAGTCCTAAAGTGGTCCAAGTCTCTCTTGCTAGAACTGGTCAGAATGATGACTGTGCTCAGGTCTATTTTCTTTTGTCTGTTCTTGGACTTCTTTTTTGGTTGTAGGCAGAGTTCCTCTAATGGAAAATTGGTGCCCCAAAATACCATCAAGTTGTGTCCTCCTGCACACCCCCCTCAGAAAAAGGAAAGAAAATCTGTCTTAACTTTAATGAGACCTGGAGTTTGGCCTTGTTTGTGTTTTCTGTTTGTTTTGCTTTTGTTTTACTTTTAATGCAGATGTTCCATTTGGAATACTGTCATCGACTGATAACATCTGCAGGAATATGAAACTGCTGCAAACACTGAAGCCAAAATTTTAGAAAAGTGCATTGCATTCAAAGTTGGTCTTCTCAATACAGTTATGTGTGCCTAAAAAGAAATAAAATTAAGCTTCAGCTTACTGTCAATGAGAAGTCTCCTTTCAATACACTTATTTTGTACTTTTGATCATAGCCTTAATGGCTGAAAATACAATTTTTGGGCAAGGTATGTTTTCGAAGCAGACTTCTATTGGCACAAATAATGTGGGGTAATCTACGTCCCTCGTTGCTGGAGGAAATGTATACGGAAGGGGACCGACCCTGCTGATTGTCCAGGTGCATCTTCAAATCAACCACATCCCACAGAGAAGCGTTGGTACATGTAGGAAGTCATTGGCACAAACCGTCCATCAGATGGGCCGTCAATTCCTCCTCCCATTGACTTTCTAAAGACTATGGTCCAGGTCTTGTGACTGTCAGAACAGATGAGATTTTGAGCTCAAAGGATTTGATCAGTTGACTATTGCATTTCTGTGTAAGCAGAAGTAATATTCCTCATGATAATATTTTTCTGAGGAAAAGGTGAATAATTACCCATGCATTTTAATTGCTAGCTAACACTTTCAAAACCAATTTTTTCCTGAATTTTTAGTTTTTTTCTTTTATTAAGCAGCTTAATTTTTAGCCTCCTCTTGTTTAGAAATCTGAATAGTAGAAATGTCAAAATTGTTAGTTGCTTCAAAAATTGAAGCTTTTAATTTTAAGGCACTTAATTTAAATTAACTGTGTTTGAAGGGTATTTTTTCCTTTTCTGAATACTCTGTGCTATCACATCCAAAGAAGTGGAAAACCTTTCCTATGAATAGATGCTTTCATTAGCATGTTGTTTTTTGGATCGTACTGAAGTGTGTGTATCATGCATACGCTGAGAGATTGAGGGTTGATCAAACTAGCCTGTTTCATTCTATGTTTACAGCAATTACAGAATGAAAATGCGAGTCATGTTATCGGTTAGCATCTACAGATTTCCAAATAGAGTAAAAAATAGTTATAACAGGGCCTTGTGTGATTCTGTATGGAATCCAGAGCCATTCACATATGCTGTAATTAATGTTTCAGAGCAATTAAATATGTCATTTGCCTCCAGTATTTGCTGAAAACAAATAAAAAATCAAAATCTGAAAAAGCACAGCAGGATATTTTAGTTGCTACTGAAAATTTGCCAAAAGAAAATACGATTATGGCAGTGCTGAACTTATTGTTAACAATCAAATTAGAATTACCTTTGAAAACAGGCATAAAACTTTTCAAGACCTTTTTTTCTTTTTCTCCTTTTTAAAAATTTTTTAGGCCTTTTCTTACAACATTTTGTGACAAGTGCAGCTAAATTCATGTTCAGCATCAACGACCTACTTCAGTTACATTTGTAGTGTCTCTCATATGCTTGATCATACCTAGCATTGACAATGAGTAAAATTTGTCTTCCATATTACAAAACCATAAGACAAGAAATAGCGCTTCATGATTTTGCTTTGTAGTATGTGATTATTATGTTTAAGATGTCACAGAATCCAAATTAAGTTGCTGAGTGAAGATATTTTTGTAAGGTAATTTTTCTTGAGATGTTAAAGCAAATGGTGCATCTCTTGCTGAAGCATCCAATGAGCATTGCATGTGTTCCTTAGCATCTGAGTGGCAAAACTGCAGCTCAGTAATTCCAGCAGAAGGAAAAACTAACAAATCAGGACTCAAATAATCTAGCAGTCTTTCTTGTTGTCTTGTATCTTAAGATACAGCTGTGCTCATATGCATACAGAATTTGTCCTTTATTGCTAAGAGGAATGGCATGTTGAAGTGTCATGGAACAGTGAAGATGTGAAGGAAATAAACCCAGTCTGTCATTCTTTTAAGAATATGTGATAAAAAAAATCAAATAAGCCCAGTTTAATTCCCTATGCCACTGGACAGGTCAAGTCTGCATGAATATTGTGTAGAAATCCAAGCTATGTTACAATGTTGCTGCAGTTTTGTAGCCTATGTAAGATTGTACACAGCTGTAATTGCCATGTCTACAACAGAAGTCCTGCCTTCTATTTTAAAAAATAGATAACTGCATAATTTTGTACCTAATTAAGCAAAGATCCAGATGTTTTGTTACCAGGAAAATCACAAGAAAACCCCAAGTTTGTGACAACATGAACACGTAGTTGGCCTGTTTAATCTGTATCTTAAGATTTTTTTTTTCTTTAATTCATATGACTAAAGGTGTTTTTATGTACATAAAAAAAAAATTGAGCAGAAGTAACTTTTCTAAGTGCTCAATACCCAAATGAGAAATTTTGCTGTGGTTAGTTTTCCAGTTCTAATTGGCTGGGTTTTTGTGCTTTGAATGAAACTAAGTGGAAAAATTTCCATTTGGTTTATGCTTCAGGTAACTGTAGAGAAGCAAGAGCATGCTTTGCCTTGTTCCACTTACTGTCAGTTTTGAATGTGCATTGTAGCTTCATATTTTGTCTGGTCGTCAATATGCTTAGAAGCCTGGTATTAATGGCATTATGAGTGCTAAATATACCTGATGTTTGTGGAGATAATGTGACTCTCGATTTTGACAATACTTAACATTAGAAGAGCTTTAAAGGCTGCAGTCACCTTATTAAGGAAGGAGTTTGGGAATGGCCTTTGGTCATTCTCAGCATGCTTCCTTGCATTTAAGAGTGAAAAGAGAGATGATAATGTTGTGCCTGGACTTGTCCATGTAGAGTTTAGGGTACCCTGGGGTTTTTGCATCTAACTGTAAAACAAGCTATAACATGCTTATCCCTGGTTTTCTTGTTTTTCTTTCAACCATTTCAGGGCCCTGCAGGAGTCATTAAATCAAAACTTCATGCTGATCGTCACCCATCGAGAAGTCCAGCGGGAGTACAACCTCAACTTCTCAGGAAGCAGTACCATTCAGGAGGTGAGTGCTGTTTCACAGCTGAAGAATAAATGTAGCTCACTATAGCTAACGTCAGCTCTGTTAAAAAGGGATTACATAGTCTTGATGGATATCCCTTTATTTTATTAGTCTTTTTTTTGTTGTTTAATCAACTGGATCATTAAGATTGCTGTAATTTGATTAAAGAACATGTCCTAAAAAAGGTTTTCTATTAAATTATACAAAAAAGATATTTCTTTTTGCATTGTAGTAGCAAAATACACGAACAGTGTTTATTGAGTTCTTCTAGAGTGATGAGGAAAGGCAGTTACTCAAATTACATTTTATCTTTAAATTCCTTGAAGCTCCCTCTGTCTTCCCTTCTTTTAACCAGCAATATCTCCATTTTGTAAGCACCTCAACCATTACTGGTTGCTATCATAGTGCTGTAATTCTTACTGGCTTGGTAGCCAAATGGTTTTGTATATAATGGATGTCACTGCCGTTCAGCAGAATGGCCAGCAAGGGGTGATATTGTAGAGAACTTCGTCAGAATTAAGTCCTATAGGAACAAATATTTCTTATATGACTCTGGACTCTCTGAATTTAGAACAAGCAGTCCTTGCATATTTTTAAAACTCCTTTCTAAAACCAAAGGTTGTTGTCTAGTGCTCCATGGTATGTCTAACACCAGATGTTTTGGATGTTATTTTCCATATAACCCATTAACTTCTGGAAACATGACAAACAATCTAGAAATGTGAATCTTTAGAATTCACATTACAAAATATTACGATTAAATGTTTGCTTTTCAAATGAAATGTATGTTTGCTATTAGTCTGACAGTTCTCTCAGTCTTCCAGGGTTGAACAGATTTTACTGAAGTTTTTCATGTCACATGCTGACATTGTAGACAGAATTATTTTAAGTTCTGTAATAATAGCTATAGGACCATTATCTCATACAACAATGTTAAATGATCATTAACTGTTTTCATTGCAATTCCTATTATTTTTAAGATATAAATTCTGATCTTTCCCATGTGTGAAAGCCTGTATTCTACTTTACCTTTGTAAACCTGTTATAGTAAGTTCTGTGTTTTTTTATAATATAAACAAATATAATTGCATCTTTTTTTGAGGGGATAAACTCTGACTCTTTACAATTAAAAATAATTTGAATATTTATGGAAATAAATGATCAGAATATTTGGTTTTAATTTTGAGATGGTGAGATTCTAAAAGAAAACACATACATACAACCTTAAGAATTCTGTGATTCTATGATATTGTCTGTCTGTTATTCTATCTATGCTATATCAATTACTACTTTGCTGGTAGGTCTTACCTGGCTTAAAGGAACCAGACAGTGCATGGGAATTCCAGCTGCCTTTACATACACTGAAGTTTTCTTGTTTGTTGGTGATGGCAGGTTACAGTCGACACATTAACATATAAAGTTGATGTAATTTAAAAGTCAGTTATGATTTTCCCCATTAAACAAGCAAAATAAAAAAAAAAACCCCTCCCACCCCATAACCAGCATGAGCATCAAACCTTCCTTTGCCTTTTTGCCTCATATCTAAGTATTACATCCAATAAGGTGTATAAAATTATGAAGACCATTTCAGAGGCTAAAATGAAAAGAGAACGCTGGACCTTCTTGTGCAGCTGATGCTGAACAGGTGAATGTATCTGTGCAAAGTCTCGTGGAGATCACCAGGGATTTGGCTGTGGTAAAAGGGTTGGCGAACGTTTGTCTAATTATAGAAAACAAGCACTATTTTGTATGTTCGCTCCCTAATGGCTTTTTAATTTTTCTTCTTTTAGCATAGAGTGAGCTCTGTAACAAACGATTGATGAATCTAGTTAGTCTGTGCGATTTGGAGGAATCGGTCATACCTTTCCTTCTCTTCTCTCCCTTGTCTCTGTCCTCTCCAGGGACTGTTAGTTCGTTTTTTTTTTTCTTTCTTTCACTCTCTTGTTCACACTTTAACAAATTAATAGTTTACTTTCCTTCTGGTATATTTTTGTAATCGTGGAAAAGCTCTATGTGAGTTCTGGTTGCCAACCACAAGAGGGCAGGAAGGACTATTCAATTATTACCTAAAAATGCCGTTCAGTGTTTTCAAATTGGCTTCTGGTATATTAACAAAAAGGAGTTTAATGGCCAAGTTATTGTTTGATTTACAGATAATTGGCATATTGCAGGGAGGAGACTTAATTTCACCCTTTTAAATTAAACAGGGAGATTTAAAAAGACATAAAATATTCATTAATGTTCAGTGATTATAAAGCAGTGGCATATATTTATTCTACCTTTATTACTGTTTCGATGGGAAAATACTGCAAATATTTCAGAAATCGACTTGGCCATACTGACAAGTTGAAATGTTTAAGCAGTGTTAATGCAATCTACTCACACGTTATATCCTATGCAGAAAGATTCAAAATGACTACATCAATTATTAAAAGAAATATTTAAAATTCTATAAATGTTCTACTGCTTGCCACAGTTGGGTGCAACTGTCTCTCCAGGGCTAGTTGTTTAGTTTGTTTTTACTATTAGTACTGTGAATTTTAAGGAATAGATATTTTTTCTGAGTTTTTTTTAAAAAAAAACAAACAAACAAAAAACCCCTCACAAAAAACCGAACCGCACCACCCTTTCAAAACCGTCGTAAATATTTTGTAATGGATTAAATGCAAAATCCAGTGAGCTCTCAGCTGTGCTCTCCTAAACTACTATTGCTTCAGTTCTCTGTCATCTTTTTTTATTGCTTAGAATGCATGTTTGATAGTAAATGATATTTGGATGAATTGTTATTTCAAAGAAATCTTGGTGTTTAATGGGAAAACAATCTGACAAAAAATTCTGAGAGAATCCTGAAACTGTAGTTCTCGTGTCTGCTTCCACAATTTCTTGCATATTAATTCAATAGTTGGATTTTGGATGTTACTTGAAAATGCCTTTTTTTTTTTTTTTTTTGCATGCTTTTATCTACATCTTCAGTTGTTTACATATTGAGACTTAATTTCTCAGTTTAAAAAAATACGTTACATTCAGTAATATTGATATGGGATAATGAGTCTATAGGGAGTCTTCAGAAACTAAATAAAAAATTAAACTGAACTTGTCCAAAATTCTGGATATTGGATTTTTTTTCTTTTTTTGGTGAATTGGGCAGGGGAGTTGCTAACTTGGAAAGTTAATGATAACATGTTGGATTAAATTGCAAATTAATCTGTGTCACAGGTTTCTGACATCTGTTTGTTCTTGTAAAATTGCAGTATTAAATTAATTCTGGGCAGATACTGCTTTGGGAAATATCATGGTTACTTTTTTCCATGATCTGCATTTTAAAGTGGAAATTAGTAAGTTTTGTGCCAGTTTGGAGACTGTAAATTAATACATTTCCAATGTATTATATGTTAAGTAGGACAAATCTAGCAAATTGAACTCCTAATACTTGCAAGACTAAAAGGAGTTTTCTCTCTGAATACTTGCTCTTTATTCTGCGAAGATAATTTGCAGAGGCTATCCGTAATTGGAGTGAGAGAATTTTAAACTTTTTCTTTGAGAAGCTACGTGGTAAATTATTACAAGGCATTGCCACACGCAACATAATTTGTTTTCTGTCTATTCTTACGAACTTGTTCTCATTTAGAAATTAACTTTTCTACTACTTTTCATTTTTGCAAGTTGTAATATTATTTGACGGGAACAAAGGACGGCCCTTTTTGGGGGGGGAGTACTTAAGTGATTCACAGAAAGCAAGTTTGTGTTCTCATCCCGGAGCAGACAAACTAATTTGTGAAAAACATTTTGAATTTGAGTTCTTGTTACAATAGCATGCTCCACACTTTTTTTTGTTTTAGCCAGTGACATAGGAAAAAAAGAATTAGCAACGTGGATAACTCAGTTAAAAACAAGGAGTTGGCGCTTGTCTATTTTACTTTTGGTAAAGACTTTGAAGCCTTTTTGTGATTCCTGTGTGCAGGATTACAGAAGTATCCAGTGTACACAAGCTGTGGCTGCTGTAGGGTGGACGAGTTAAATATGCAGGAGCCTCAGGCCTCTTGTAGATTGGTGATTTTATTTTGTAACTGCTGGAGATTCCAGCTGAGAATACTACACAAAGCATGTACCAGGCACTATAATTCCTAGTAAAACATAAAATCTGTGTAAACAACGCAAAGAAGATGGGTCCCTAAATACTCTCTGCTTCTGCATAGCTGCATCTGCTCTTTATTCCGTTCCTTTAGCCAATAACCTGATCGGAGGCTGGCTGCTTAGCATCCCTGTCACCTGTGATAGGTAATATATTTGTTCTTTGTTCCCTGTAGACTTACTGGCTAAGGTGGAATATGAAAAGCAATGTATCCAATAGCACTCCAGGCAGGAGGAGGAACTATTTGTGCACACAACTGCTTGGGCTGAGATAAACTATAAATTCTCCATTGACAGACCCTAATGACAGTTTGAGGTCCTTTGTGCTGAATTTTTAAAAACTTTTTTGATAAGTAGATGAATGTGAAACGAGGTAACAGAAACACCATTTATAAACACGCAGGCAGAAACCTTATTTAAATGGCATATATATAAAACAATATAGGTCAGCAGATTAATTACCTTCAACATGCAGAAAAATAATCCATCCGAAGGTCTTGTACCTTTTTCAGGTCAGATTTTTGCTATCTATACAAAATATTTTCAAGCCAATTGTTGTTGAGTGAGATCATCCACAGTAAAGGTCAGACATTGGCATGGGGACACGAAATGTATATATAAATAATGATGTTCTTTTCAATCTTGCATCTAAGCTATTACAATAAAATAAATTTGCCAGAGATCAGAATATGAACATATCCAAAGATGGTTCATACATTAACAGTTTCAGAAACAGTAATATTATATTTTGATTTTTTTTTTACTTGCTTCAAAATTGTTGAAAACTATTCTTATGCTAACAAAAATCAGTAACTAACACTTCGGTATTTAATAGGAGGTGCACAAACATTCTACACTGTTGTTCAATTATT